GTAAAGCCGCCTTCTGACCACACACACACACACACACTCTCCTTCTGTACTAAAGTACTACTCCAAAAAGCTGTGAGAACAAGACAAAGATAAGACGGAGAAAGAGACCGGAGTGAAGGATGAATAATCCCTTCAGCTCCCTCTAGCTGGCCGTCAGCTCACTCTCTCTCTCTCACCCTGACCCAGCTTAGAAATAATAACTTAATTCCCATTAAACTCTCCTCTCCTCCCTCACACACACTTACAGAAGCAGACAAAGGCAGAATATTAGCTGTCGGAAACGTGCAGGATGGATGAACATGACAGAGAGGTGTTAGATGAGGGTTAAACAGATGGACAAACAGAAAGAGAGAGAGGGAGAGAGCGAAACAGATGGACTAAGAGGGTGAGAGGCAAACAGCTGAGAGATGAGGACAACACAGATGGACATGTAGACTGCTATTGTGCATGCGTGTGTGTGTGTGTAGGTGAGGGGAAAATCCAGAGAATTGTTATGCCACAATAACATACTGCTCATATACTACATCTGCACTGTGTGGATAAAGAGATATTGCCACCGAATAAGTAGCTTCAATGTACAACAGTTTACTACTTTTTGTTAGTAGCCTGAAGTGTTGGGGAAGTAATTCAGCTGTGTAATATAGCATTTATTTATTTTGTATTTGATCGGAAGCCAGCTTGAACTAGGTAATTACCATAAATGGTCCAGCTAATGCTAATTACATTTTAAATCAATATTTTTTTGTAATTGACCATTCAGTCATCACTTAAAAATAATAAAGTAAAATAAAAAGAAAAAAGAAAATAAGCGGGTGATTCATAGTTTAAAGGAGTCATAATGTAGTATTAACTTTGATACCCACGCTCTATTATAGTAATTTCATGCCCTTCTAAAAAAGAAAAATTGGAAAAAAATAAACACAGAGCTCGTTTGACCCTTATTTCTAAATGCATTATTGTCTCGCGAGATCTGTTGCGAGGTTTTGGCTGTCGTGACGGTCATTTTAATAATGCAAATGAGGGGCGCGTTGATTGGTGGCAGGAAGGAGGAGGCTTGACACCGCAGGTAACTTCAGCATATCATTCCAAAAAGAGATCATGGCGCAAGTTGTTAATGAACCCGACCTGGCCGCGACCTACGGGATTCAACCGTATATGTTTGAGCCAGACTCTGAACCAGAGCTGGAAACGGAAGAGGAACAACAGTCAATTGAAGGACGTCTACATCAACATGTCTCTGAATGGTAAAGACAATTTTTTTGACTGAGACATACATTAACATCAGTAACGAGCTAAAACGTTTTTTTTGCTATTTTCTCCCACATAAGTTTAGCTTTAATTTAATGTAGATTACATTAACGGAGATGTAGTCTACTTTATTTTCAGTTTACAGTGGTTGTAGAGATTAACGTTTGCTATAATGTGTTGTTTTTGCCTTTTTTGACGTTGTGGTTTTTTAGATATTTAATCATTTTCATCTGCAGACATGTAACGTTATGTTTTTCTTTATGTTTATTAATTCTTGACTGTTTTTTAAATGTATCTATCCTTATCACATACATTAACCGTATTAGTAGTTAGCTGTTTGTTACACAAATTATAGTAATAGAAACACAGTCTTACCGTTTCAAATTCAGGCAAGTCCCTGATTGTTGGAATGGCACCTTTTTCCAAACGTAGCTTCGATGCCAACTTCGCCTGATATTGCCCCAAATTTGTAATTGTAAAAGATTATTTTGTGAAATGTTTAGCGCAGACACCTAACGTTGAGCAAGTTGAGATGGTTGTTGGAACAGCGTCATTAAAAATAAGTTTCATCCACTTGTCCCTTGTAGTTTGGTCAGTTTTGGGTAAAGAAAAAACATTAGAATGTGGATTATGACAGTCAACCACAGAGCAACTCACGTGTGCACTACGTTTCTGCATCTTTCTTGACTGAATATGATGGGGAGAGGGGCAGGGCGGGCCTCCTCTGCGGTGTCCATATATGGTATATCCGGCCCCGTCTTGACGTCAAGTCGGGGGAGAAATTGAAATCTCGTATTTGAGTGCGCGTGCACGTTGGCTAGTTTAAGAACCCTGGGGTAAACAAACGCTTCACTTTTGAATATCGGCATCCCGGCCAATGTATAATCGTTAGTCAATCATAACATACATTGATTCTCATGGAAAAGTGAAAATTGCACATTATGACTCCTTTAAATCATTCATTTATTTAATTTTAATTTTTGGAAGCCAGCTCCAGCTCGAACCATGCGATAAGGTCCAGCTAGAAACCACATTAAAAATGAAATTCAATTTTAAATCATATAATTTTTTATATGTCATCATAACCTAAAATTACAATGATAGTGATTTATAGTTTAAATCTTTTATTTATTTAAATGCTATACTGTTTTTAAAGTCCTGTTGTTTGCGAACGGTAGCTTCGAAAAGTTTGATTTCCATTTAGTGAATCGGTTCGTTTGTACAGTTAAAGGGTTAGTTCACCCAAAAATGAAAATTCTGTCAGTAATTACTCTCCCTCGTGTTGTTCCAACCCCGTAAGACCTTCGTTCATCTTCGGAACACGAATTAAGATATTTTTGATGAAATCTGAGAGCTGGATCACTCCTCCATAGGCTTCTTCAGGGATTGAACTTGCCGGCCTCGAAAAGTTATTAAAGACATCGTTAAAATAGTCCAAGTGACTACAGTGGCTCAATCTTAAGTTTATCAAGCGACGAGAATACTTTTTGTGCGAAAAAAACAACAAAAATAACGACTTTATTCAACTATTCGGGAGTGAGACAGCTCTCAGATTTAATCAAAAATATTTTAATTTGTGTTCCAAAGATGAACGAATGTCTTACGGGGTTGGAACAACATGAGGGTGAGTAATTACATTTTTGGGTGAACTATCCCTTTAATAAATCCCAGTCAGCGGAAGATTGTGCGCACATGCGTCTCCTCCCCGCAGTAACCATATATGGAGCTGACAACGCCTAGTTTTACTATGCATATCCTCATCTGCATATCATTTGCATATGCATATTCATCCACGTGATACCATGATTAACGGTACAAGACATTAGGAACATATGAAATACGGACGTGCCGTCACATTACATTGCTAAAAATCATTTAGTACCCTATCCTTGCCTGAAAAATATACTTTTTAACGCTGTTTGAGCATAAGAAACAACATTTATGGGACAGTTCAATTCAGATTTTTTTTTTTTTTTTTGGGATTTGAAATGTGTTATTTAATTGTGAGTTTGGCAAGCAGTTTTTGAGTGAAACAACAAAGAGAATGAAATTTTGCTCAGAATTCAGACAATACTACAAAATGTTTGACACTTGATATAGTGCAGCATTTATGGAATCCAAAACAATTTCAGACACATAATATTATCAACATGTGATTTTGAATTTTTTTTTTTTTAAATCATTATTTAATCAGATTGCCATGAGTTTTTAAACATTTTCACACATACTGGATTAAAAATGTTTTATTTTTTCGCAGTAATGACAGGCTGCGTTGTTTACAATTATAAAAAAATAGAAAGGCAATAAGCAGTGAACACTATTCTATTGTTTCTTCATAGCCAAAGCATGTTTGGTTTTCAGGTTTATTTGGCACGTTTATGTTCCATGTTTCTCACAGGTCCCCTGTGACCTTATTGGTCGGCTGAGCTAATGAATTTTCTGCCCGGCCAATCATCAGCCCCGTATCAGTCCAAAAACACCTGGTGCTCCTCGTATCAGACACACTGGATATCTGGACACAGAGGTCTTTTTTAGCCCCTGGTGAAAGGTGCCCTTTCACAGTGATCCTGGATTAGTCTGCCTGCCCAGAGCTCAACCATAGCAATTATGACTTTGTCGGAAAGTATTAAAAAGGGAAATGCCTTTTTATTAGTAAAGCTGCACTTTTATTACAGACAGTTTTTCCCTCATGTCATTTTTTTATGCTCGGATGTTACATTTGTGTGGTTAGGCCGTAGAGGATCTCAGTTACTGAAAACAACAAACACATCTCATTACCTCATGGAGTTATTTATTCACATGGAACCAAACGGTCTCTGAAGTCATTATTTTCACGGGATGTTTTTAGAAAAGAGTATTATCCAAGTGAGAAAATAGCATTAGATTTAGGTAACACCTTCTGTTGGGCCTGTGTACTGTATAAAATGCATTATAAATTTAGGGGAAATTGTTCTTCATATCTCAAAGTCTACTTCAGATTTACCTGCTGCCTTCCTGGTATGCAATATAATTTATTCCTGTGATCAAAGCTGAATTTTCATCATCATTATTCCAGTCTTCAGTGTCACATGATCCTTCAGAAATCATTCGAATATGCGGATTTGATGCTAAAAAATCATTTCTGATTATTATCAATGTTGTGCAGTTTGTACTGTCATATTTTTGTGGAAATTGTGATTCATTTTTTTCTGGAATCTTTGATGAATAGAAAGTTCTAATTTATTGAGTCTTTATTTACTGTCACTATTGATCAATTAAATGCGTCCTTGCTGAAAATTTCTTTCAACAACAAGAACAAAAAAATTCTTTTTGCCCCCAAACATTTCAACCTTGGCATTATGTGCCAACAGTAATAGTATCTTTAATATATTAATTTTTAGAAAGACTTGAGCATATTGCATTTACAGAATGAAACAATCACCCTAAATATCAAATGAGACCACACATAAAAGCCTTAGAAAGCCATAATAAATAAAAATAAAAATAAAAAAGCCTTTAATAAATAATAATATTATTGAATAATTTTCATCTTTTCATCTTTGTGTTTTACATAAGCTAAAATATTTTGATCAGCTGAAGTCTTCAACCAAATTATTTGCAAACTATTAAAAATATGTTGTATTACACTACAGATCATATTATAATTCCCTTTAATACTGTATAGACAGGCTTCATAGAAATGGAATTTGGGAATGATTTTGGGAATTTCTTAACATATTTTGTGTTTTTCTACCTTTTATTCATTCCTTCAGCTTCATTCGAGTGTGGACAGGGGTGATGGACGCACGAAATACATTTTAAAAGGTGAAGGGGCCGGCTCGGTGTTCGTCATTGACAGCAGGACGGGGAATATCCACGTCACCAAACCCCTAGACCGCGAGGAGAAGGACCAGTACCGCCTTATCGCCACGGCAACAGACCGACAGACCGGCCGAGCCCTGGAGCCATCCTCCCAGTTCATCATCCGCGTGCAAGACATCAACGATAACCCACCTGTGTTCCAGGGCGATCTGTACAGCGCCACCGTGCCTGAGATGGCCAACATCGGTACTGCGCTCGGATGCACACGCAAATGTCCTCTGACTGCTGTCATTGAGCTGTGTTTGGAAGAAAAGATGGAGGGTCACATGCTCATTGAACCTTGACTTTGTCAAAAACGTCTCTTATTTCGTCTCTTTCTTTCCCTAGGCACATCGGTTATTCAAGTGACAGCCACAGATGCTGATGACCCAACGTATGGGAGCAGTGCCAAACTGGTGTATTCAGTGATTCAAGGCCAGCAATACTTCACTGTGGACCCGCAGTCAGGTGTGTGTTCTGTTAGATTCTGTAAAATTTCTTATTTTTAAGTGAAGGGTTATTGACTATTGGGCTGTGGTCCAAAAACCTCATTAAAAACATGCACTCAGCTTTTTTAACAAAATGACTATGGTTAAATGTGCACCATCAGAGTAAGGGCTTAATCGCAGAAAGATGTTAACATGACACGAGCAACCCTCTTCACTCCCGTTTACATGCAATCTTCATTATTCTGAATATGCTAAGAAGTGTGGTTATTTTTAACACCATTATTCACATATGCACAGCACAAATGATGGCCACTGTTGTAATCCACTTTCATCAAGTGCAAAACACATTTCTATGTGTAACCGCTCCTACTCGACTCGCTCTGAGGTGCGTTTCCCAAAAGCATCGTCAGCCAACTATGTTCACAAGCTCCGTCGTTATCAGCATAGTTCAACGAGTCCAACGAACATTCCCAAGCAGCATCGCAAAGTTGTGTGGTTGGAACGACAGCTCTCGACCTGTGCTTAGAAGCAGAGTTTCTTGTCAGCAAAATAAGCAAGCTGACATTCAGTACAATCTGTGTCTTTTATTTAGAATACATACAAATGTCATTTATGTCTTTTAGTTTGTCAAGAGATTTAAAGCACCGTTTTTGAAGAGTGCGCATGAGCTATGATTGAATCTGGAAATAAAGCAAAATAACTGAGAAAAATTAGAAATACTCCTAATTTATAGCAAAACATCTAGCATTAATTCGATCTCAAACAGATTAATTAAAAGAAGTTATTACTCCAAAACCTGCTTGACATCATTAATCAACGACCACTTTGCAACAATACGGTTTCGTCGTGACTAGCTAGTTGATTTCTTCAACGATGCCTCGTACAATGGGAGTTAAGCAGCGAGTTTAGTCGTTGTATGGGAAATGCACCCCTGAGCGGGATTCGAACCTGGGTCTCCGGCGTGGGAGGCGGGTGCTCTAACAAGGACGTTACCAACTGCAGTCGCTAGTGTGCCTCTTGAGATTTGAATGAGTGAGGTTCACACAGCTCTTTCTGGTCTACTTTACACTCACCCCCTAAACCTCATTCCCATCTGGGTCGCGGCAAATGTAACCGGTCCTTCTCAACCCGCTCCGAGGAGGATTCGAACCAGGGTCACCGGCATGAGCTGCGGTCTTTAGCATCCTTGTTAGCACGCCCGTTTCCCATGCAGACAACCCCGATTTGAATCCCGCTCAGAGCGGGTCGAGTAGGTCCGGATACATATAGACGTATTGGATATTATTCTGCGCCGTGATGCCACTGTAACCATTGTAATTGTAAGATAAGGAGCAGAGACAGATTTCAGCTATTCGGAGTAGACGGAAAACTTCATGAAATAATTTCATGAAGTTGTGTGAACAACACACGGCATCTGTGTACGTCCGAGCGCATGCACACTTCGGTCAGAGAGGTAATGCGATTAAGGCGTTTGCATGCCAGTTTATTGCGATTAAAATCGCTGTACCCACATATTTAACTGCGATTATGGTTACTATGATTATGAGCTTAATCGCATTTGTTTGATCGGAATTTTATGTTTACATGTGGTAAAGTTTAATCGCAACATTGCCAAAATCCCATTATAATTGTGCATGTGTAACCCCTCCACCCAGGGTCCTACTCGCCCCGCTCTGTGCCTAAACCTCACTCCCATCCAGGTCACGGCACCAATGTAACCCCTCCACCCAGGGTCCTACTCGCCCCGCTCTGTGCCTAAACTTCACTCCCATCCGGGTCACGGCACCAATGTAACCCCTCCACCCGGGTCCTACTCGCCCCGCTCTGTGCCTAAACCTCACTCCCATCCGGGTCACGGCACCAATGTAACCCCTCCACCCGGGTCCTACTCGTCCCGCTCTGTGCCTAAACCTCACTCCCATCCGGGTCACGGCACCAATGTAACCCCTCCGCCCGGGTCCTACTTGCCCCGCTCTGTGCCTAAACCTCACTCCCATCCGGGTCACGGCACCAATGTAACCCCTCCACCCGGGTCCTACTCGCCTCTGTGCGGGCCTCGAAACCGGGTCTCCGGCGTGAGAGTCGGGCGCTCTAACAAGGAGGCTAAAGACTGCAGCCTCTAGTGTCTATCGCTAGAGCTCTTACTGAGATCAGAGGAGTGAGGTTTACTTGCACAGCAACTACTAACTGGCCTCCGTTACACATGTAAGCGTACTCATTTGTAGTGCAAGAATGAGACTGAGTCATGTTCAAAATCACCCCAGCTCAGTCGGGCATGATCATTGCAGTGAGCAAGTGAACACCTCCCATTATACGAGTGTACAGAACTTTGTAGAATTTGAGTACATGTAATTAGTTACTGTATCTTTTTGGCTACTTTTCTCTTGTATTCTCTACTTGACTACATTTTTGAAGTATATGTACACTTTACTCCAATACATTTGTAAAGAGTAATGCATAAATCATTAGGTTTTGTATGGCACCTAACTTTTTCTGCAGCAGTTTATTTCTGCTACAAAAGAAGCGATATCGCCATCTACAGGGCATTGAAGGTACTATACATTGTGTGTTTTGCTCTTACTCTCCCAAACTTGTCAGCATGGCTACTTTAAGCATATGTGAGTGCATTAGCAGGTAGTTGTGAATTCCAGGTGTTTCTTCATACATGAGATTAGGACATGACTGCAGACCGAAACTAAGCAAGTAGGATTTGACTATTTCATTTCACGTAACACTATTATATTTATCGTTATATTGAAGAAACCTCTTTGAATGATATTGGTTTACTTATGCCCTTTTTGAGCACTTGAGCTTAATTAAAACTTGAGTGTCTGTAGACGCTTAAGAGGCTGTGGTGTCGACCTTGATTTATTGCAATATTGAGGTTCAGTTTTATTTCGACTTTAGAAAATAAATATGTGATTGCTCTCCTCACAAATCAACTGTTTCTTATTTTCACTGGCATGTCTCTTAGGTGTGGAGAACTAGTGCATCTTTGAGCCTACATTCAGTACAAGTAAAATATTTAAGCACTGATAAAACCAGATACTCTAAGACTTTTACTCAAGTGGTATTGGAATTGGTGAACTTGTAATGGAGTCCTTTTTGCTATTTTCACTTTTATTTGAGTGTGGTTTTCAGGTGCGCTTCACACCTCTGCGAAAATGAAAAGACCCAGGCTTTAGGAAGTGATGTAATCCTGAAAAGTCATCATGATTTTGAATAGTCAAAAATGATCATAAAAGACCAGAATTTAAATGTAACATTTTGTTTAAAACAAAATCTAAAGTGACTGTAAAGAAAATTGTAATCTCTTTCTATTTAAAATAAATGTTGTTCTTTTGAACTTTCTATTCTACAAATAATTATGTTGTTTCTTAAAAATATATATAAATCAGCATATTAGAATTATTTCTGAAGGATCATGTGACACTGAAGACTGGAGTAATGATGCTGAATAGATTACTACTTTCAAACGCTCCTGTGTGTATCTGTGTAACCGCTCGGTGAAAAGCATCATTGATGTATATTTACAACATGTTTTTGAAGCACTGATCATTGTTGTCAATCACATATTTGATGAGCGCGTGAACACAATGGCCAATCAGAGGGGTTTACGATTCCGCTCAACAGCGCTCAATGCGTCACATTTTTTAAATTTCAGTACCGACTTGGTACCGAAGTCGGTACTTTTGACAACACTAGCGCAGGCTGATAGGTCCTTAACTCAATCTGTGTAGAATCACATCATTCTCTATAGGGCACAGCTGATTGGTTCCTGCTGTATCAGTAGCCAATGAACTCGCTGCTCAACCTTCAATACTGGTCAGCATTTGCTGTAGCAGTTGCAGTGCGCTTTCAGAAACCCTCCACCTTCCCCAGTTCCACCTGTATAGATCTGCTATGGGTAACTTATGAATATTGCACACCAGCAGCATGTCTTGTATGTATTGGCAGTAGCAAGTCCCGTACTCGCTCTGCAGCAGCAACAACCATCATCAGATCTATTCCACCAAGACCAAACATATCAACATTATCATATTCATTACCATCCCAAACACTCAGAGTTTTCATGGCATAAATAATATTGTACAGTGTCACTGTTTTTTACTGTTATTTTGATCAAATAAATGCATCTTACCGACCCCAAATTCAAAACGCAGTGAATGTTCCATATACTGTAAGATTTGTTTGACCCATTAGTCAAGTAGTCAGATCTCCAGCAGTGTGATGGTGTGGGATGTTCAATGTGATTCCTTTTAATTCAGTTTAACCTAATTAACTCACTGGCATGAAAAATGCTCAGTATTGCCAAAGTGAGATATGCTGTGAGTGATCTGCACCTGTCTCTCTCTCTGTGTGTCTCTGCAGGTATAGTTCGTACGGCAGTCCCAGATATGGACAGAGAAGCTCAGGCGCAGTACCATGTGGTGCTTCAGGCAAGAGACATGGGCGGCCATCAGGGGGGTCTGACAGGGACCACCACTCTCACTGTGCACCTTAGTGACGTCAATGACAACCCACCGCGCTTCACTCAAAGTGAGTCACACATCCAGCTCTGTTCCAGAACCTCCAAACACGTCTGTCTACTGTGATCTGCTTCACTCTTCTGTTCTGTTCTATTCTATTCTATTCTATTCTATTCTATTCTATTCTATTCTATTCTATTCTATTCTATTCTTTTCTATTCTATTCTATTCTATTCTATTCTATTATATTCAATTCTATTCTGTTCTATTCTATTCTATTATATTATATTCAATTCTATTCTGTTCTATTCTATTAAATTCTATTCTGTTCTATTATATTCAATTATATTCTGTTCTGTTCTGTTCTATTCTATTCTATTATATTGTAATCTGCTCTAGTCTACTAAACTTTATTTTATTCTAGTTGTCTAATCTGGTCTAGTCTAGTCTGGTTTCCTCTGTTGTAGTCTAGTCTGTCTAGTCTATCTAGACTGGTACATCTGTTGCACTTTACTGTTCTATTCCATTCTGTTCTTTTTAAGATATTATATTCTGTTGTGATTCTATCAGCTGCATTTATTACTCTATTTAAGTTTATTGTCCTAGTCTAGTCTAGTGTAATCTACTTTGTTTTATTCTAGTTGTCTACTTTGGTCTGATCTATTCTAGTCCATTCTAGTGTACTCTGTTATATTCTAGTCTAGTCTATCTGCTTTAATCTACTTCACTTTACTCTTCTATTCAATTCTATGAAGGATCATATCTGCTCTACTCCACCAAACTGTTTGATTCTGTTCTATTCTATTTTTTTCTATTCTGATAATCTAATCTGCTATACTTTGTTACTCAATGAAATTTTATTGTATTATGTTCTAGTCTAGCCTGTCTGGTCTATCTAGACTAGTAAGTCTATTCCACTCTATTTAATTAGTTATTTATTGTAATCTGTTTTAGTCTAGTCTAGTTTAGTCTACTAAGATTTGTTTTATTCTAGTTGTCTACTTTGGTCTGGTCTAGTCTAGTCTAAGCCCTTTGAGTACCCAGAAAAGCGCTATGTAAATTTAACAAAATTATTATAATTATTATTATTAGTCTATTCTGTTCTATTCTATTCTAATCTATTCTGTTCTGTTCTGTTTTGTTCTGTTGTAATCATCTGCTGTATTTTATTACTGTATTTAATTGTTTTGTAATCTGTTCTTGTCTAATCTAGTTTTATAATCTGTCCCAGCCTATTAGTTTTAGTTTAACTTACTTTATTTTCTAGTCTTGTCTATATACTATAATAATTGTAGAAAATCCTGCTGAGATCTGATTGGCTGATTGAGTCCTGATAAGATCACCTGTTGCCACTAACTAATCATGCTTCAGTCTCAGTTTGCTTGTATATAAGAAGCCGTCTCCCCCATTCATACATGGTCTGTGTGGAATTGTTGCGTTGTTGACAATGTACGTTTCTTTCTGATTGTTTGTTTAAAGGATTGTGTTTGATATGATATATTGAATTCTAGTTATGTATAGTTTCTCTTTGGTGTTATATTCATTTGAATTGTTAAAGTTGATATCAGATGTATGGTTTAAGATCTGCAGATGTGTTTGTAATCTATTAATTGTTTCTATGTTTATGTTTAGAAACCAACAATTACCACCATAAGAAATGTCTACTCCTACATGTTGAGTACAATAAACTGAGAGCAATAACTGATGACTGAATGAGTTTTAATGGACCCACCGTTCCAGTAGCAACAGCTGAATCAGCCTAAATGTACCACTAGTTTTTACATGGTCCTTCGAGCCGGAGAGGCTGCTGAAATGGAGACTGAGGATGACTGTGTGAGACCTAAACGTTCATCTAGGATCGTAAAACCTCCAAGATGGCACCAAGATTATATGATGGCTCAGTCAAATCCATCAATTCATCCAATTGGACAATTGTCAAATCAGCCAGAGGATTTGAGCCATTTTGTTGCCTCACAAGGAGCTTCCATTACCGCAACTCAAAATGAAGTGAAGTCTTTATCTGAGGAGATTAAACAAATGAAAGGAATGTTGTTGGATGTGGGACAAATGATAAAAGATCTGCAAAGGAAAAGACATTCTTCATTTTCTACTAGCTCTGAATGCAGTTCTATTCAAGCATCCCCAGTTCATATCCCAATGCAAGCAAAGCAGCAAGAAGAGATGAATGCTAGAGATTCTATTGTGGATGAGTTGAGTGAATGTATGCGACAACATCAAACCAGGCCGGACAATGTGCTTTCTACACCACCAAAGATTCAGGGACAAAATACTTTGCCCCCCGCACAGTATGCGCAGCCTACCATCCCATTAGCGACCACTAGAGAGCCATCAGAGAGACAACACCAGCAGCTTTCTGATCCATGTCTACTTAATAGGCCATCAACTCCTTTACCAGAAAACCTCAGGTCACAACCTTTAATGGATCCCATCGCCAGGGGTGACAGCTTAATCCAGCCACAACGTAATGGTCCTCCATGGCTATCTTCAGTCAGTCATCAAATGAATCCCAGTTTCTATCCAAGTGATCAACAAGTAGGAAGGGATCAAAGCTTATTGCCATCTGGTCAAATGCAGGGAAATGCATTTTGTATGCCCGGTCATCAATGGATGCCTCCAAGTTGGCCAACCTACTTCCCAAGTGGAGGCTTGTTAAACCCACCGTACCTACCTGATATCCCTTATCCAGTATTATATCCATCTCATAGTCAAAATGCTCCACTTAATTGGGTTCCTCCTAGAGTTGCCACGTTGCCTCCTAGAGATTTATCAGTTGGATTTCCTTATACTTCTCTTGGACATTTACATCAAACTTCCTTAGAACAGCAGACAGCTAGAACAGCTGTACGTCAGCAAGATAACCCTTCCATTATGTTGCCACAGAATCATTTGACACCAAGAGTTATTACTACGGCATCAGCACCTCAGGGCCAGCAAAGAGATGTGAATCAAATAACTGCATTCTCCCCAAATGGAATTCAGATGATGGTACCTGATCAGCATACGTCTATTCATTCAGCAGTGAATGTGCCCCACCCAGCTATGTCAGCTCTACTTCCTTCCAGGTCAGCCCGTATTGAGCGACTTTCATTTCCAAATTTGAAGAGTGATGACCCCCAAGAGTTTGCCATGCTGAATATGGCTCTGAAGAATTTGTTACCCTTAGAGGAAACTGAGCAATATAAGTACCATATTCTTCTGGATCATTTGAAGTTGGATGCAGCTCGACTTCTTGCCTTAGCTTATGCCCATCATTCGCAGCCTTATACCATGGCCTTAAAGGCTCTACAGAAGAGATATGGTCAACAACCCCAGCTGGTGCTCCGAGAGATTGCTACTATTAAGAACTTGCCCGCTGTACGTTCAGGCGATTCTGCTGGATTTGGCGCATTTGCTGTACGAGTTCAAGCTCTTGTGGGAATGCTTCAATCCTGGGATCATGAAGAAGGAGCAAAGGAGTTATCATGTGCATCCCATGTCCATCAGTTACTCAGTAAACTTCCAGCACATCAGGTTGCTAGTTTTGCAAGATATGCCAAAACAACCCGACCAGACCAGTCCTATGACTTAGTGAATTTCTCAGTTTGGTTAGAAGAGGAATCAGATTGTCAGAATCTAGCAACCCAAGTGTTTGAACAACACCAAGGTATGAAGAAGTTCCAGGTAAGAGAAGGAAGGCCTACCAAGAGCCAATACCACACAGCTACTTTCCTTCATGGTGTGAGTCAAGAAGTTTATCCCACTCAAAGGAACACTGAAACTGCGAACCATGAAATTAATCAGCGACAGGGCAAGAAGGAGGGCCTTAAACCATCATGTGCATACTGTGGCAGTAAGGATCATCATCTCAGTCATTGTCCTGAATTTCAGAGCTTTGATATGGTAGCCAAACGGAAATGGATTGTTGACAACAATCGTTGTTGGAGATGTGGTTGGGCCCATAGATCATCCAAGTGTGACTTAAGAGGAAAATGTCCGTTGTGTCAGGATCGTCACTTAGGAGTATTGCATGAAGTAAATGCTCGCAAACCAGACTCTAGGATATTCTATTTGAGCCGAGCAAGTGGCCTTAACTCTGTTCTTCTGAAAATTGTGAAGGTAGTTCTGAGCCACAAAGGAAATACTCTGGAGACATATGCCATCCTAGATGATGGTTCAGAAAGATCCATGCTAATGTCTTCTGCAGCAGAGAGTTTAGGTCTTCATGGGGCGGCAGAATCATTGGTTCTTCGAACCATTCGGCAAGACACAGAGAAAATTGAAGGTGCAACAGTTTCCTTTTCCATATCTCCAGCTTCTCATAAGCAAAGTAAATACCAGATACAAGGTGCCTTTACTGCTCAAATGATTGATTTACCCGAACAGACTTATCCTGTGCAAATCTTACAGCGACGCTACCAACATCTAAGAGGCCTCCCTCTGGAGGAGTTTCAGAAAGTTAAACCTTTGCTACTAGTGGGAGCTGATCATCCTCACCTTCTTAGCCCCAAAGAGCGAGTACGTTTTGGACCACCTGGAAGTCCAGCAGCTTTGCATACTCGACTGGGGTGGGCATTACAAGGACCTACTTCTTTGGGTGAAAAGACAAATCCCCAGACTCAGTGTTTCTTCCAAGCTTCTCGCTCAATGGACCAATTGCATAACGATGTGGAGAAGTTATGGCAAGTTGACGTACTTCCTTTTTCTCAGAATCCTAGGCATGCTCTGCGTTCTAAGCAAGATAAGGATGCTATCGAGTGTCTAGACCAGAAAACAAAGCGTGAAGAAATCAATGGTATCAAAAGATATGCGACTCCTTTACTTCGTGTCAAGAATGCACCTCTCCTTAAAGCATCTCCGGAGGCAGTGATGCCAGCTTTGCGTAGAATGGAGAGACAACTAGCCAAGGATCCTGATCATGCAGCTATCTATGAGCATGAGATTCAGAAACTCATTGAAGCTGGATGTGTTAAGAAACTGAAACCAAATGAGATTGACCTCAGAGATGAATCTTGGTACATTCCTCACCATCTTGTGGAACATAATGGCAAACATCGTGTGGTATTTAATTGT